TCGAGAATTTTCTGAGTAAGGGGGGTAGGTTATGAAAAGGGAAGGTGTTAGAACCCTTTTCATCCGTAGTTATCTATGGGCTCTTAATCGCTAGCTCACTTTAAAAATGCTTTGTGCTGGTGTATGTTTGAAAATATTTTGAAAATGCCTAAGTGCCGCAATTTTGTAATTATTCTCGTATCATTAGGAATGTATACAAAATGTTTGTTTTGAAAATATTTATTCGGAGAAAGTGTTTGTTTTGTGAAAAGATGTTTTGAAAATGCCAATGTAAGGCAATTTGCTTTATAATAACCCTTGTATCAGTCCTCAAGAGTGTTTATAAAGAGTTTTGAAAGTAGTTGTTTTAAAAGTGTGAGGTGTAAAAGTTATCTTAGTTTGTGAGCAAGCGACTACGAGCGATCTACCTACTCGAAAGTCTTTCTTCTTTTCCTCCTACTTTAGATAGTATTATCCTACCATTAGTTAGTAGGAAGCTCTATCATTGGATGTGAGGGACAGACACGGGTCATCGTACATTCATATAAGGCAACTTGTAGGATGCTTTAGCAATTTTTGTAAGGGATTAAGATTTTTTACCGAAGGCAGCATCGAAGGGTCATCGGGGGACTACGATCTTTTAATCGAGGGTCTTTGCTAAAAAATGTCCCACGTTCGAGGGACATGACTGTTTAAATCTGAGGCAACAAGTGAGGGTCACCCTAGAGGTGCGCGTGTTCGATGTGTTTTTATTTCATGTATTTATCTTGAGATTAGATTTTCAAATGTTTGCTTTTAGTCTTGCCATACAATCCTATTAAACTAACAGTAATAAGGAAAGCAGTAAATTATGGAAATTAAATGTTCTACGCTATTACAAGGCTTCGGGGATGGGGAGTACATATTTATGAATGGGGATGAAAAGTAAAGAAAAACCCTAATTAAAGCTATTACAGACCATTGAGCTGTTACAATAATTATAAAAATATTAAGACGGAAGATAAAATGCACGAAGATGGTGAAAATGAAAAATATTTAAAACCTAAAGAATTCTAAGTATTTAGGAAATATTTTTGGTGTTTTATTTAGAAAAGATATTTTATAGTGTAAAATAATAAGAAAAACCTAATTCTAATTATTTTACAAATTAATTAATAAAATAAAACAAAATGATTAAATTAAATTAATTTCTTATTTATAAAAAATTAAGTTAATTAAATAAAACCTAAATCTAATTTTTTTGTGATTTTTATTATTTTTTCTGATTAAATAAAAATGATTTAGAAAAGAAAAAGTTAGTTAAAAAAGAAAATAAAAATGGGCATGTGTTTGTAAAAGAAATTGGGGTGTGTTAGAAAGTAAAAACTCCATGCCCAATAATAAGAGAGCCCAGGCGTTGCGCTGGATCTAGTGAGGGAAATCCATGAAGGCTCATGGTGAGGATGCTGATCTGGAGCATGGGATCTAATTGTATGATGATCTGATGGTGTTGATGAGGGGGTACATGATGAGCGTGTATGCTTGGTTCACACTAGATCTGCAATGAAAATGTTAGAAAATAAAATGTCCCACGCCTGGATCGAACCCAGGACCAGGCATATGTATGACTTAAGAGCAAGCACGCTGCCACTGGGGTGGCTGTTACATCCGATCATTATACAATAACCACTAAATATATTATAAACTTAATTTTCAAAAATGGAATTCCCAATTCTTCTTCTTCCTCGCGCCAGATAACAACAACAATATTTTTGATTTTGCAAAATGCTCATTTCTCAACCAAATTGAAAACTTCCAAAACCAAACTTGCTTGAAATTTTACAAGGAATGCAACCATATAAATTTCAAAAGCTATAGATTAAAGATGAGCGCGAATTTTGTTTGGTACCAAACTAAAAACCATAAAATTTTAGAAAACTCAGTTCCAAAATTCTCCTCACACAATCAATTAAAATGAGATTTAAGGGCATGGTTAGCTTCACAGACATGATATCTACATTTTATCTTTAGAAAGTAAATGTAAATGATGCTTGTACAGAGATTTCAAAGTTTGGAAAACTTACCTCTTGATACAAAATTTCAATGCCCTCTACACGACTACCAGAGGTGAAATGATGATTTGGTGAGCTTGCTTGGACCCTGAGGAAGCTGTTTGGATACTTACTTGGTGCTGAGAGCCTCTGGATACCTCTGACCAAGTCGACTTGCAAGTATGAAAAGTGAAAATGGAGGATGATGAAGATGATGTTACAGTGATGAAATACGAGTTTAGATCACTTATACATGATGTGTATGAAGTTTTTGGATGATAAAAAGACAAACGCACGAGTGGATTTGAAGTTGGGTGTTGGAAGCTTCAAATGTGCAACAATGGTGGTTCCATGGTGATTCTAAGTTTGAGAGAATTTGAGGGTGTTTTGGAGCTGTCCATTATTGTTTTGGCTTGAAAATGGCCTCTCTATTTATAGATAAAAGGTTTGAGGGCAAGGGCTGATCAGATTTGAAAGTTATGGAGTTATGGATTGGTTGACATGTAACTTGAAGTTTTTTGTGAAATCAAAGTTCCAATGCATAGTACCATGCCTTCTAGAGAGGATGAACACTTTAAACATGTTTCTTCTGATTTGTTAGGTTGAGTGTGTGAAGAGGCAACAAGTTAAAGGCTCAAGGAGAGTTGACAATTGCATAAAGCATTTTTTTTCCAAAATGAAAGTGTGATCTTTTTCCCCTTAATGGAAAAATGGATTGGATAATGCTTGAATCAAATGGACCATAGCTCAAAAACATGTGCAATCTTATGATTATGGATGGATTTAGAGGTTTAGAGGCCTGCAAAGTGAGATCTCTAAGGCATAATTGCAGATTTGATCTTATGGCTCAAAACAAATAACCTCTAATTCAAGAATGAAATGCCAACTTCATGTCTTCGAAACATCTAGCTCAAGTATTATCTTTACATGCTCTTGGGAATTTTGGAATGCTTGAATCAAGTTCTAAAACTTTCATGTTGTGAGTTTTCGCTGAATAAATTTGAATCTTAGTGAAAAATGACCATAAAGTAATGACTTTGTTAAGAACAAAACACTTAGAAATTTTTTCTAAGTGTTGGGTAAAAATAATCAAAACTTCATGGGCCCATATCTCTTAATCCAAGCACTTTCTGAGGATCACCCCATATTAACAAAGTTGTAGAATTCATTAATCCCTACAAATTTCATGTTGAAAGTTTTCCATGAATCAACTTGTATCTTGAGGAAACTTGCTTGTGAAGTTAGGGTTATTTAGGTACAAAATCCTTGAACTTTTCTAAGTGTTTGAAAATCTTCAATTTTGAATTTTGTTGACTTTCTTGATTCTTGATGATAAAGTTTGATAGTTTTGAATGTTTTGATGATTCTTGATTTTTGAATTCCAATGTTGACCAAAAAGTCAAAGTTTGAATTTTGTGTGACTGTTGACTTTTTATTAATTGATTCAATTCTTCAACTATAAATCAATTGCATCTTTGGAAATGTCTTGAGCCATGTAATTAGGTTAAGATGTTGTATTTGAGCCCTTGAGATCATGCTTTAAGCCATTAGGTCATACACTAGGTCAAAAGTCAATGATCAGTCATCTTCAATAAAAACCCTAATTTGGCAATTTTTGACCTTTGATGATTTGAGGGATTTCCTTGAGGAATGATGATCAACCCTTTAAAAAATGATGAATATCATATAAAAATGTTAATGTTGACAAAAAAATCTTGAAGTTTGACTGTATGTTGACCATAGTTGACTTTTTACTCAATACAATTGATTTTCAATCATCTGAGCAATTGACTGAGCAAACATGTGACGCAAGACTTGAAAGTTGACATAATCATTATTTAGTACTTGTGATGAACCATGAAATTAATTTGAGACCCTTGCAATCCAATCTTCTTTGAGAAGCACCAAACCCTAGTTGGAGAACCTTTCTTAGGAGGTGGTTTTCACCAGTCAACTCTTGAGTAGTTTTGAGCAAATGGGGACCTCATGAGAATGTCTTGAAGAAAATGGGAGGGAAAATTTTGGGGTACACCAACTTGATAATCAACTGGAATCATATCTTGCTCCATATTATTTAGCTCATCCACACCTTGATCAATATTTAAATCTATCTTCCCAAAGGCATTATTATTCCACCACTTCAACCTTTCCTTCATAAACTTGAATTTTTGGGTTACCACAAAGTGTTTCTTACCCATCATCTTATGATTGTTCCACAAATTTCTCACAAATTCAAATAACTCTTGATTATTAGTCCAACATCTCAAAAACTTGAAGGGCCTTATACCTTAATCCTTGTTACATGACTTTATCCAAATAAGCCTATGATCGGAAATATCTCTGTTTCCAGATACTTGAGCCATCAACTTCCATCTGTTAATCAATCCTTCTGACAAGAGGAATCTATCCAATCTACTACATGATTTACCATCAGATCTTACCCAAGTAAAAATATTTCCCACAACAAGTAAATCTACAAGCTCTATACCCTCAATAAAACTTCCAAATTCCAGCATCTCATACACGTTCCCCCTTTCATACTTCCTCTCCTCTCCTTCATGGTATTAAGCGCATTGAAATCACCTCTAACACCCATTCTTCTTGATCAAAATTATTTCTAGCTTGAGCCAACTGCATCCACAGTAGACGTTTTTCTGCTAAATTGAACGATGAATAGACGTTAATATAGTAGACAATAATACCTTTTCACAACCCTTTGATACCCAAATAACCATTGCCCCTGAAGCTGTTGATAGGTTGAATAACACCCCTCTTCCGAATAATCACCATACCTCCAGATAAGCCCATAGAATCCTTCACTGACCATTCGAAATCCTTAGCCCTCCATATATTTTTCAGCAAGTCCTCCTTCATACTTTTCAACTTTGTTTCTTGAATAAAACACATGTCCGTCTTTTTTTACCAGGATCTGATTCAGACGTTTCCTTTTAATGGAGCTACCGCACCCTCTGATGTTGAAAATTACTATATTCATGGAATACTTAGATGATTCTCCCTCTGATCCTTGTAACAAGCTTCATCTTCGGCCTTCATCTCTCTGATTTTATCTTCAAACACTCCTTTATCTTCTTCACCCTCTACACCCAATTCTTGAATGATATTCCACACCCTTGATGAAATATCTTTCTCCTTTGAGTTTTTGACTCTTGATGTGCATCGATTGATGTCAGAATCATTGATTGACGAGGAAACACTGGATAATATGGGATACTTGGCAGCAGTCCTCGAGAAAATAGGGTTAACAGGAAAGGGAATTGCTGCTAATTATTTTTTAAGGCAATAGACGAATATATATATATATATATATATATATATATATATATATATATATATATATATATATATATATATATATATAACATATCATATGCGAATGTGAGAATGAATAAGAACCATCATCTTGAAATCCAATGGTTGTTATTATATTCTCACATTCTCATATAACTTACTCATTCTCATATTATATGTCATCTCTCTCTCTCTCTCTCTATATATATATATATATATATATATATATATATATATATATATATATATATATATATATATATATATATATATATATATATATATATATATATATATATATATATATATATATATATATATATATATATATATATATATATATATATATATATATATATATATATATATATATATATATATATATATATAATTCATTAATATTAGTAGAAGACTTAATTAAATCTCAATTGTTAAAATGATTGATTAAACGGTTATAAAAATGAAATGAAAAAATATATGGTACATTTTTTTTCTTAAAAAATAGGTTATTTATAAGACCGTTTATATTAATAGTTGAAATTTTGTGTAAATCTTTTATACTTACATTTGATGTCAAAGGATCCTGATTATAAAGGTTGATCTAATACATATCATTATTAGTGAATAAACTCATACCATTATCCTTTTGTAACTTTGTTTACCTCTCTTTGTTTTCTCTCATAATCAGATATTCGACTAAAATAAAGGGTATGTTTGTTTTACTTAAATTTTTTTTTTTGTATTTTTAAAAATAAATGTTTTAAAACTGTTTTTCATAATATTACAAATTTTTTATATTAGTTTTTTCTAAATTGAAAGATTAATTTTGACTACATCCTTTAACATAAACATGCATTGGAGATTAAAATATAGTCGAAATCGATATGTTTAAAAAAAATTGTATTTCAAAAATAATTTTTATAATAAATTATTTGAAGTAGCTTCTAAATTAAGTGATTTCTTGAAAGTTTAATATCAACAAAATGACGAAATATCTGAAATAACATTTTAAGGACGACTTTTCAAACCAAAATTTCATTTGAAGTTTTTATAGAAAGTTCTTTTAAAAAAATATTTTTGCACAAAATAATGTTACACCAAAGAAATCTTTTTTTAAAAAAGTCAAAACAAATGGCCCCAAATTAGTAGACTCTTTCCTTTCTTCTCTACCTCATGTCATTGATTATTAGTTTGTTTTGTCATCTTTGTCTCTTTGGTTTTCTTTTGATTTATGTGTTTTTGGTTTTTTTGAGAGCCCCCTGATGTTGGGAATTTGTTTTTAAGCTTTAAATCTTAGTCACGTAATCCTGATTTTAATTTCATAATTATATGTTGGACAAATTTGGATTTTGTGCTAGTATGGTTATTAGTTGTTCCACACAACAAATTAATGTATTCTAAGGTTCAAGCAAGGTGATATTTTTGCTTTGTACCTTTTTTTTATGGTCGTGAAGGGTTTTAGTGGTTTGTTAAGGAGAGTAATCTATCTTAGTCTCTTTTTCTGGATTTAAGGTGGGTGGGTACCTCTTATCTTCTAGTATTGCATCTCCAGTATGCTAATGATACATTGATTTTGGGTAAGGCTTTAGTTTATAATTTTTGGGCTATTAATCTATTATTTTTATTTTTGTTTTTTAGGTTGCCTCGGGGTTTCAAGTTAATTTTGTGAAAAGGTTTATATATGTTAATATTGATCATTATTTTTTGGTTATGGCGGAATGTTTTTTGCGTTACAAATAGAAATATCTTTTATTTAAGTATTTAGGGTTACCGATTGGAGCTAACTCTCGTCATGTAGTTAGCTAGAGACCTTTTGGTTAACTCTATCTCATTTTCTTGAGTGGTAGAGTAGTTTTTCTAAACTCTATTCTCATTTTCTTTCTTTTCTCTAAATTTCTATTAGAATTTGGAAGAGTCTAGCAAGACTCCAAAAGACATTTTCTATGGGAAATGACCATTGTACAAGACAAGATTGTGCGTGTACATTGGTTGGAGGTGTGTAAGCCTAATAAGAATTGAGGCTTGGGAGTCAGAGATTTACGTCTGGTTAACTTGCCAATATTTATCTTGATGAAAACGTGTATAGGAACTAACCCGACCCTCATGGACTACGTCATCCTCAACTCATATACCTTGTGTGTTCAATAAGTCCCTCTATAGACTTAAACCAGCACCACGGTCATGGTATTATCAATTCACTAATTAAGTCGTTACAATGGGATTCTCTCACGCCATTTCTGATCAACCATCATTTATTTATCATCATGGAAATGACATCACCTATATTATTTTGTATATGGATGAATCCTTACAGTGTCATCCATCTCCATTCGTTAATATATTATGTCCAGGCTGAGTTCTGAATTTTCAATGAAAGATTTGGGTCCAGTGAGTTATTTTCAAGGCATATATTTTACAATAAATTCTAGAGGTCTTTTTTTCTCTCAAAATTGCCGAAGAGTATATTAAACATGCAAGTATATCCTCTTGCAAGCCATCACCTACACCGGTGGACACGAAGGTGAAGCTTAGTAGATCTTCAAGCAACTGTTATCAAGATCCTACAAAATATCACAATTTTGTGAGTGTATTACAATACTTCACATTTACAATACAAGATATATCATATACAATTCAACAAGTCTGGCTCTTTATGCATGATCTAAAAACACAACACATGTCTGCCTTAAAACAAACAATTTGATATATTCATGGCATTGTTGAGTCTGACCTTCATATATACCCATCCTTCCTTGATAAGCTCACCTCTTCAGAAAACACTGATATAGATGGATGTCCAAACACGCATAGTTCTACCTCTAATTATTGTGTGTATCTTGGTGATAATTAGCATTCCTGGTTCACACAATGTCAACATACACTATCTTGATCGAGCGTAGAGGTCGAATATCAAGGAGTAGCTAATGTCGTGTCTGAATCACGTTGGATCCAAAAAATACTTTTAGAACTACTTTGTCTTTTTACAAAAATCTACTTTTGTCTTTGAAAAATTCAATGCAGTGTACCTCTCCAACAATCCAGTTCAACATTAATGCATCAAACACATTTAAATGGATATACATTTTGTGCATGAAAAAGGTGTTACACCTGAACCTATATAATCTAGATACCACATACTTTATACATAGTTTATAATTGCCTGTTGTGATTAGACAATGTAAGGGAATTGGGGAATTTGCAACAAAAGCTATCAACAATAAACTCTACACTATAGTAACTAACTTTCTAAATATTCTTTTTCTTCCTTCATTTCATGAACCAATGATTACATATATTGAGCTAACTAAGGTAGGATCCAAATACGATCTTTCTAGTACAATTAATTATGACACAATCAATTCTAACTGACTGTGACTCATCAATTAGAATTGAAGGCTTTAACAACACCTTTGTTAGATCCTTCTAGAGGCTTAGTTACTTCTTATTACCTCCCCTATTGAGTAAAGGAGTAACAAAGTCTTTAACATATTTGGGCTTCACAATGTTTCTTTTGGGCCTGAGCTAAAAACAAGTTTCCTGAATCTCTTCATCACTGATTTTCTCTTGCTCATTATTCATAACATCTCTCGAATCATCAAGACAAACCTTGTCGTCAAGGTTAAATTCAGGGTAAGTAGCACAAATGTCTTAATAATCTTCCCAAGTAACATCCTAATGGAACAAGCCCTCCCACTGGACTAACACTCTTGTTGGCTCTCCATTGCATAGTTATCAATTGTTGATGCAGTAAAGCGGCAAGCAAAATATTAGAAGTTTTTTTAAGTTTTATCGTCTCCACAAGGATAAGTGCGAGGGAAAGAATGTCGTTCAACATTTTCTATGTCTCTAATCTTGGTTTTGAATATTTAAAAGTAAAAACATATGAACAAGAAAATAAATTCATTCTTTCGAGAGGAGAAACTTATCAGGCATAAATGTAATCTACCCGTCACAAACTTAAACCTATCGATCAATTGTACTAAACCTACAATACTCATCAAAATCATCATGTATCTCTCACATCAGTGTCAGTTTCTGAAACACCTATGAGATGTACCACAACAAAGATTATGTCTAATGCAAAGTTACGAAAACAACCGTATTACTCTTGTTGGCGATGTCTCGCGTAACTCAAATAACACAGAGGTATTAAGCTTCGATATCCATAGTGAATGTTAGCTCTAAATCTATCTCTAAATCTATATCTAGAATCTAGAAACTAATATATATATATATATATATATATATATATATATATATATATATATATATATATATATATATATATATATATATATATATATATATATATATATATATATATATTCACCCCTAATAATAATTTGTGAGGTATATGTCTATAACAACACAAATCCAAACATAAAGATAAAAGATTAAGGAAGACATCAAGATTGATTTGTAAAGCTGATTTTATACAACGCCATGAGTGATAAATATACATAAGATCAGAGAAAGCTTAAAAAAAACCCAACAAATAGAGAAAATACATAGAGGAGAATGAAGAAGAGGCAACTATCTCACGGGTTGTCAACTCGGATTAATGAGAAATCAGACTCTGGATCATCCATATGCAACCTCCATTATTGTTTTCTAGCCACTCTCTACCAAAGAATGATTTGTAATGGTTCAGGATCAAAAAATACCCAAAACATAACCTAAAAATATGAAATAATCTATTTATACAAAAACAGAATACAGCAGATCGTGTTAAGCAGCCTTTACGCGCTAAGAGGGATACCATTTATTTACACGTTAAACCTCCTTAAGCATGCTAAGCGGGTTGAGCCTTCTTAACGGGCTCAATAAAATAACCCTTGCTAAGAGAAAACTTCTTGTAGTGCGCTGCAAGATGGGCTACATCATTATTTTCTTTCAAAATCGCATATTTGAAGGCGTGTCTTTGACACTTTATTGCTCAATGCTCCAAACATGCACCAATACCAACGAAAGAGAAGAAAATATATCAAACAATACAATAATTACACAAAAACGCAATTATATACAATATGTATAAATATACACAATATGTACAAATTCACACATAAGTTGAGGTAAAATAGTCGATAAGAGCCTACAAAACTATATAAAAAAAATAACTGCAATTTGGCACTTATCAAACTCTCCCCAACTTAAACTTGTTTGTCCTCAAACAAGAATCAATCAACCTAAAGAAACAAAAGCTATTACCAAGAATCATGAATCAACAAGTTTAGAAAAACGAAAAACAAATGTATGGTTCAAGAAGCAACAATTTACATGTAAAATAATGCTTACCACTATACTACAATGATAACATGAAAACAAAACACATCCTAAGTACAAAAGAATAATTCAAACAAAAGCAAGTAGTGAAAAAGAATGAATTGCATGGTAATTGTACAAATTACAAGTTTCCTAATCATGCTATATTCTAGAGAGTGACAAATGAGTACCTTGCACGGTACCAACTTAAATTACTATCATTACCACACAAATGCGTTGTTGAAGCAATCAAACTTCAGAAATCACTCCATGCAACTTCAACCTAAAAGATCGATCTTTGGAGGAAAACAACAACAAAAATTATTATTAATTACTACTACTATTTACTATTATAAAAAGCCTTGGTGAAAGTTGGAAAAATGGGCTGAGTGAAGAGAAATTCCACTGGCTAACACAGAAGACCGCGCTTAGCGTGTAGCGGTAAAATCAATGAAGTCACCACCGAGTATTATTTGTCCTACAAAAAGGGAAAGGAAAATCATCGAAGAAAAACCAGAAGGGAGAAATCAAGGTCTTGCGACTAAGAGATCGGGTACGGGAGTCAATTACGCGAGGGGAAGGTATTAGCACCCCTCACTTCCATAGTACTCAATTGTATCCACTCATGTTTTTCTAATCAAATGGTGTGTTCAATCTAACACTTAAGAGCTAAAAGGAGAATGCAAAGAGGGAATGCATACAAAGAAAACACGGGGAAAAGAAGGAAATATTTACAAATTTTTGCTCGGCTGAGCCCCGTGACCAAATGCCTACATATCCATTTTAAGGAATCAGATCGTCGTAGTTCAACTCACTTGTTTTGGTGGGTTTGTGTTTTTTAGTTGAACAATGTTAACTTCAATCGTTCCACCGCTACTTAACCTTTGGAGACTTACGACCTGTAGTGGAAAGGAACTAACATGCTCTTAGAAGAGAAAAAGCCGATTGGCAAAAACAAAGGTCTTGGTTAGTGTTTTTCACCTTAAGAAAGGGTTTAAGTTGTTAGAGAGTGTTTTTATTAGTTTAAAGAAAAAGAAAGTTTTAGTTTTAAATGCAAGGGTGAAAAAAGAAAAAAAACATCTAAGGGAGACTATCTAGAATCTAATCCCTAATGTTATCTTACGATGATAACCCTATGTCTAGGATAAAGGGGGAAATATCTATCTATGTTAGCATGTATGGATTACTATCATAGGGTCTAGCTCGAATTGGGAAAGAAATAAGCACATCCTAAGGGGGCATGGTATATACAAACAAGTGCTTTGGAAAAAGCACATAATCAAGGTGTACTGACTCAGGGGATTGAGGGTATGAAGATAAAATGCTTTAGCTAAGGGGAGCGGATCACCCAAAGCAAACAACCAGGAGACTGAGATGAAATAAAAAAGAAAACCATTACTTTATCTAAGGGGAGAGGATCACCCGAAGGAAACAAGCGGGGTAGAAAAGTGTCAGCAATAGACATTGAGAACTCCTGACAAATGGTAGGGGTTGAGACCAAACCCTTTTCCACATGACCTAATCGATACAAATGATCTGCACAAATCTAAAGCGTCAACGTACAACATGAACTAAGGATGACACAAACGAAATGCGGGGGTTGATTGCGAACCCTTTCCACTCACCTCCTTTTGAGGAATTATTAGGGTGGAGGGATATGCGAGAACAAATGTAATCACACCTGCAGAATACCTACTTCAAAGGTAGGATTTTATTCAAACACA